TTCAGCTCTTATCTATCCTGAGTGGCAGCATTCACTCGGCTAATCAACACATGCCTGAGGGCCAGGCAGCTACAGCTCCAAACCACAGAGAAAGGATTGTGCACGGAGACTTAGGGAAAAGAGATGTGGTGAAAATCAGGCTTTGTTAGTTACAGGGATTGTGGAACAACTTCCTGTTTTTATTGCATTCTCTTAACCACTTAATGAAATTTAAGGTACTCTTTGCCAAGGTATCCATGGATCTCTGACAGAATCCGTGCACTTTTCCCTTTTCAGGCCTTCTAGTCAATCTTCCTGGTTCTACACCCACCGTTTTGCCATAATGATGATGCTGTACTTGCTGTTGTTGATAGTGATTGGGGCCAGCAACTCGCCAACCTTCATCTACTACTGGCACAGAATGTTTGACTCGGAGAGATGAATCACCCGAGATAATAAACTGTTATTTTCACCATGTGCCTTAAGAACAGCTGATCTGCAATGCACTGCATCTGTTCCAGAGCTCTGGAAGTCGAGGTGCCTGGAGCTTTCCAGTTCTGTCACCCATGTATTAAATCCTCACGGCATCTCTTCATTTTTTTCTTATTTCTGTGTTCCTGTGATTCATGAGGATGCCTGGTACAGCTGAAAAGGATCATAGTGGTGCAGCCTAGCATGAACCAACTATGTTAAGGGTCCATAGGAAAAAAGGATATTTAAGATTAATAAAAACAGTGTGGAAACACTCAGGTGTAACTTATTTTCTGTCAAGCTGAGGTATGTTTGCACAACTGGGAAAGGAGAAATTTTCTGTATGTCAGGCAAAGCAACCTGTTAGGAGTCTTATCAGTATGTCCTCAGAAAGTGAATTTAGTGTTTAGAACGTATCTGTGCAGATGGGATCACTTTTTAAACTAACTTTGGCCAGGAACTTTTATATTTGAGCATAATGATTGTAAGAAAACAAAACCAACAAGCCAACGAGAAATAAAACAACTGCCAAAATGGAAGAAGTTAAATGGTTTCTAGTATGTTTTTTTTCCCCTCTGTAGAACATTGTTGTGTTTTAATCCCAGCTGGCAGCTAAGCAGAAATCCAAAGCATAGTCCCTACACTACCTGCTAGGAGGAAAATTCTCTCTACCCTGGACAAAGCCAGCACAAACATCTACAAGGCTTGTGCTCTCAGCCATGATGTGTCTTGTCCTTGGTTAGTGTGCAAATCAGACAAACTCAAGCTGTTCATCATCAATGCTGAGTAAGGATTATTCTTATCAAACTGGGGATTTGTTAGAGAACACATACACAGGTATGCACAAGTTGTGCAACAGACACAGAGCAACACCTTCCACCTCCTCACCATGTCATTTGTTACATAGCAAACTACAACTACCAGAAACAGAGAAAGGAGCAAAGAACGATCCTCTGATTATTGCCTGGGCATGGGATAACCCCATGAAGACCCAGGGAAGTTGTAGGCAAAGAAAAGCCAGATATGTGCCACAGTTCGGTCTTGATAAGCACAAGTTTTCATTGCACAGTGAACCCTAACCACAAAAAAGAAAAAAAATCTCATCACATTTCCAGCAAATGAGTCTGTGATTGCTCCCTTATTCATTAAATATTTCAAAGAAAATCTCTTCTGATGCTGTTCTGGTACCTAACTGCCAGAAA